AGCCCGAGCGACTGCTAGGGGTGCTGATATGATCAGACACCGCTAGCAGTGTCGGGATGGCTCCATCTATTGGTGGGGAGCATCACCTGCTGGAAATCGGGTCCAGCCTCCCTATCAAGTACGTTTAAATTGCAATTATACAGTTGGATTTAATCCTTGTCAGCTATGATAGAAATAAGGTCGTGACAGGTTAGTGGGCCTGTAGCCTATACTAATCTTTCGATTGCGATGTAATTTACAATGTGAACCATGTTGACTATGAACAGAACAGTAGCACAGCGATCCCAAAAGAGATCACAGACAATACTGAGCACACAAAGCAGGGGTATGAGAAAACAAGGATAGACTCGGCCAAAGAGCAGCAGTGCGTGTCTGGTACATCAACACCACCCCGGGACGATCCATCCCCACCGACCGTTGCTTCACCTGCTTTCGTAAGAACAGCACGGACAAGGCGATCAAGTCTAGGATCGACCTCATACTTATCTTAGAGGAAATTCAAGGGGCACTCCAGATCGCAGAGATATTTCCTCGTAGCCCCTATCCAGGTCTGGACCATGCGATGTGCGTGGCAATCTTCTCCTTCAGGAGAAAACCGGATCAAGGTAGGGGCTTTTATAAACTGAACACCTCCCTCTTGACCCTCGAGCGATTTAAGACCTACCTCGCAGAGGTGTGGTCCTTTTGGCAGGAACAAAAACATCAGATCCAAGATGAAATTGAATGGTTCAACAATGGTCTGGTTTATATAGGCCGCAAGTGCAATGAATACTCTAAATTTCTCGCGGCACGTCGCCATGCAGAGGAACTAAACTTACAACGACAACTGCAACACATACAACGACATGACAACGAGACAGATGAGGAGCAAACGGAACTCGCTAGAACCGTCCAGACCATAGAGACCCGTCTGGTGGAGTGCATGGAATATAGATGGCAAGGCGTGCGGATCCGCGGGAGACTCTCCAAACATAATACAGAGGGGGCAATGGACGCTAGGTTCTTTGCCATGGCCAAGGCTAATTTAGGGAGGACAGTCATTGAAACCTTGGAGGATCCTAAAATCCAGCAAGGCCCCCTGCACACGTCTACAGCCGCCTGCACAAAGATAGCACGCGATTTCTACCAAACCTTGTTCACCTCGGAGTGTGGGCAGCTCCCCACGCATCGACGAACAGCGGACATTACCGAATTCTTGAGCCCGCTTACTAGAACTTTAATAGAACAGTAGAGAGCACGTCTAGACGAGCCCCTAGCGAAAGACGAAATATAGACGGCATTATCGCAAATGGAGGATGAAAAAACCCTAGGCATAGATGGGCTCCCTAAGGTGTTCTGGGTGGCAATGTGGCCAGAGATTTCGCAAGATCTCATGGATTTTTACCGAGAGGTCTGGGCCACAGGACAGACTGGGGAACTGGTTGGGCAAGGGGTGCTGACACTCCTCTACAAGAAAGGGGAATGGATTAATATACGGAACTACAGACCCATTACCCTGCTAACAGTGGTCTATAAAATGATGGCTAAAGCATTAGCCAATCGCATGACACCGATAATGTCGGACATCATTCACCCAGACCAAACAGGCTTCATCCAGGGCAGAAATATCCAGGACAACATCCTCCTGGTCAACGAGATGATCAAACTGGTCAGGCAATCTAAAAACAATGCGGCCATCATATTCATCGACTTCGAAAAAGCCTATGATCACATGGATTGGGTCTTCCTGGACATGTGTTTGCAGAAGCTCAACTTCGGGCCAGACTTTAGGAGATGGATTAGGATCCTCCATTCCAGCGCAACTACCAGAGTCATGGTTAATGGTAACCTGACCCCCCCTATTAATCTGCAAAGATTTGTACGGCAAGGGGACCCCATAGCCCCTTTCCTGTTCGTAATCATCATGGAAGCGCTGGCCGCCAACCTCCGAACTCGTAAGGACATCAAGAGAATTCGAGTGTCCGCCATTCCCGAGGAAGCAATCCCGGTGTGTTCCTTGTTCGCGGATGACCTGACTCTGATGGTGGACGCCTCCTGGGAATCAATGGAGGAAATCCAACATATGATGGACCATTTCTGTCAACTCTCAGACATGTGCGTCAACTGGGG